CTATGTTTTTCTGCTATAATAGCAGAGGTTTATATCGTATAACAAAAGCAGAAATATTAATGCAGACGTCTGCTGCAGAGTTACTAGTAACTACTGCCGAATCAACTGGAATTTTACATGCATACAAGAAATGTAAGTGGCCGCTTACCTAATGTGAAGTGAAGTATTGCAAGTCAGATTTGGACTTGAATATCATTCGTGGTAACTATCATAAGACTAAGTCAGTAAAATTCCTGGTTCGTACAGTTTTCATTTTTTGTAAGTGTCTGGTTGTCGAGTATAGATAAGACTTGAGCAAATAAGGCATTTTCAGTGCAATGGATTTAAAGACGTGTTTGATGTTTGATGGATCGTCGAAAAGAAGTGTGATAAGTTGCTAGAGATTTCTCCATAGATTAAATTTTCCATTAATTTCAACTGATTTTATTATCGAATATAACAATGAAACAACTGTTAATCAGAGTACAGGCTCCTACAGAAATCGTCATTTACTGTCGTTCAGTGGTCAGTCTGGTGATTCTCACCGTCAACCAACTCAGAATTAGACAGTTTATTTACTCTAAGCCCATAGCTTAATTGCAGTAACACTCATATTATTGCTTCAGGTGGACTATAAGAATAAACATAAAGGACATAAGTAATCCTCTTATTATTGGAGAAATTAATTCGTTTGTGAAAGTCGAAGTTAAATGGAGCTCTGTGAATAAACAGCTGTTATGGCAAAACACCGTAGTGTACATACTTGAACATTAGAAAGCTTAGACGCAAAGTGTATACCTAAAAGGTTTGGGCGACTGATTATTCGATTGATTGATTGGCTGAGTGAGTGAGTGAACGAAATAGAAGGAGGAATACAACCGGTGCACAATAATATTATATGGTCACTCTTACTGTCCTTTCAGATATTTCTTATCAATGGATATAAGCTAATCATACTTTACCCTGTCTTACACACATTCTTGTCAATATTAGTGGCTAAAAGATAACAAAACTGTTTTCATTGTGAGCAAGTAAAGCTTGCTTCAAGCTGCAGCTCTAAAATTCTTCAGTAACTACTTGAGGTTGTTGGCGTATTCTCCAGCTGTAAATTGTGATGCTTGAATAACAAAGCCACAGCTGCTGACAACATCTGTTTTTAGCCACGCTCTTCCACATTTCACTTAAATCAGTACGGCGAATCTATATTCTGTGCTCCATCAAAATGACATTCCCTTCACCCTTATAGACTCCATTCGTTATTGCACTAACGATTAATTAACTTTTTAGGTGCTTTTAGCAACAAAAGGATTGCCACTGCAACAGGTTTCATTCGACTTTGTTTTAGTTGTGACTACCGCTTACTATTAGTTTGTAGAATAAATGTCAGTCAGCATCAACGGGGTACCTAGCACTACTGCATAACGACCCAGCTTGCCACACCTCGTACTAGCACATTTAGGTAGAAGACACCTAGATAGAAGTTACAGAAATAAGAAAGTAAGTGATCGGAATTGGCAGAAAGTCGTAGAAAGGGGCCAAAAAGAAGTTAAGGGATAGTGAAATTCACCTTGATAATTAGGATTAAAGTAGTATGTCGATGCCTCGATTCTGAGGCATATAGCCTACAGCTATAGTCATTTGGACCCCAGCCGAAAACTTTACATTCCCGTACATGTCTTAGATGAGCAGTTAGAAGTTTATTGAACTGACGTCTTGTTTAAGTCTGGCCGCCTTTAACCTTCTCCCAGCCTTAACTAACTTCAGGTTACCGATGGAACTCTCGGAAACAGTTATGCATGAAACTGTTATTCCTCAGCAAACTACAAACAAACTTTGGCTATATCAGTCAAGTAGGATGCAGTTTATTGCTGTGATATTTGAAGGGGTAGCTGTCATAAATCTCACGATCTTAACAATATAATTTACTAAAGTGAATGTAGATTTATCTGACGAATTGCAATATGATAAGTAAATCCCTCTAGCATACCTGTTACAGCGAAATTTACTAGATCACCACAAAATACAGATTTAGGATAAGATTTAGAGCGATACGTCCACTTAAAACTTTGCATCCACCTTTATAGTGATAACTGGTCTTGGTTGCATTTTAAGTATTCAGATAAAAACGTGACTGACAAGCATATGTAACATTCTGTACACTTGTAAGCGCACACATACAAACATACATCTACAAACTAGTCTGCACCTTTGTATACGACTTAACAGCCAGTTAAGGATATTTATAGTATCGAATGATCGATCACTAGAACAATGTGAAAATGACTGATAGCAATCGATTGCTAGTAATTCCTACAATATAACGTTTTACCACTTCACTGAAAGTATAAAACTGAAGCAGTAATTTTATGCTGATTAGAAGCAGTGATAGTGCAACCGACTGACTAAGTGTAGATTCTTGTATCCGTTTGTCGGTCGTATTTAATAAATAGGCACTGAAAACACCATTCAGGTGTTTAGATTAAACTTGGAAAAGTTATGTTTATACAAATTAGTACTGGTAGAAATATTTGTAGTGTTCGGCACTTCTAGGTTATAAATTTCATATCTGTTCACATAGATATTGAGAAGTAACGATGAATTTATTGGCAAAATGTTTGCTGAATAAACTACCTAGTTTTTGATCGAAATAAGTGACTTGTTAACAGAATATCACTCCATACAATTAACCCCTGTCATGAATTTTTGCAAATCAAGAACAACAAGCATCGTGGAATCAATCAAATCAACTCATTGGAATGCCCTTCAGTCATTTGAAGTGGAAAATTTTCCATAGAGAATAAGTGGCGCATGACATATAATATGAACTGTATCCTGAACCAATACAAACTTAGACTAACAGAATCGTAGGACAGTCAGTTCATACTGAAAATAGTCGATCCAGTGGATCAAGTGAAATATAGAACGTAGAGAGAGATCATATTTCACCCTTAAAAAGTGTGCCATTGTGCATGATTAAATTAGCTACCTGTGTTTTTTATTTTGTTACTTGCAATTTTCTGCTGTCATACAGGGCCGGATTGGTCAACCTCTGGTAGCAGATAGGATCTCATGGGAATGCCTAGATACTGCCGGATATTTCTGATGTTATATTCTTCTTAATGACCAGCAGTGGAATCCAGGACGAGCGTTTTGTCCTACTTGGCTTTCATCTGCTGGATGTGCCTGCGCCCCAGTGAATGATGTTGTCCCCACTTAGAGTCGACCCTAGTTACCATCGTTTCAAAAGCCAAAACCTTCTCCACTAGGCCACTGAGTACTAGGTTTACGTTTCAATGAGAACAACATAACTTACTGAATGAATGATTCATGGTCCCTTCACTTAGGTTCAAATGGCATAAGGGGCGACAGTAACCTCCATGATGCTGGTACCAAATGAAAAGTAAGGAACTAGTGAGTTAAAATCCAGCTGCTTATTAGTAACTTTACTCTTTACTTTGCTGCTCCAATAGCTTTTGATAACCTTCCATTATTTACTTAGTCCGACACAACTTACAATTTACAACTAATGATTCGAAAATAGAAAGAAACACGCATCCTAGATTCCACTGCTAGCCACTATCCATGATAAACTTCCAAATGTTTACTAGTTTTCAATCATTGCTCTTATTTACAACCTGGATAAAAAGGCCACTGGTAATTCTTATGTATTGAGAAGAACAGCTGATCAAGTTGAGACTTTATCTGCTAAAAAAGTGAGCATTAGGTTCAGATTTGATTTAACTGATTGGCGACCAGTCCAAAAGGATGCAAACTTTCAACTGGCTTCTGTATTCAGTCTGGTGAACTTTTTGTTCAAAGTCGATTGCCGTTTTCATATATAAAAGATGAAACCATCTCAGAGTTTATTACCATAAAAAGATAGATCAGTCGGATAACAAGTAAATCTTAAGGTTAGTCGGGATTTCAGTTTTCAGGTAGTATTCATCACGGACTGACATCAAAACCTAACCTTAAAATACTTCACTGCATAGTTCTCATTAGCGATGTACTTCTAGATGGATATTTTGAAGTTCTAACGAGAAGCCGAGAGCAGTGGGTTCGACTAGTCGGAAGTGAAGTGGATGACATCTAAAGACGTTGAAGCATAATCTCACTATATCGCGAACCGATGGAAGTGGAAAACTGTGAACCATGGTGAATGAACCAGTGGGTGAATGTTTAACGCATTCGCCCCGAAAACTGAAGGTCCTGAGTCCAATCCCTGGTCAGATCATGGGCACCCATTGCTGAAGAGTCCAGCACTGGGACAAAAGAGCTATCCAGTGCTCCTAGGTTTTCAGAAGTTATGCAGCTGATGTCAGTCCATGATGAATACGACATCCAAAGTAGACTTTCACTTTATAATTCAGTAAATCATTTTTATCTTGAATGAATAACAAGAGGAAATGGTGTATTTGAAAGTACCTATACAAGTAGTAACCAGAAGGTATGTTTCTCACAATCCAGAATGTTTGTGTTGAGTATTTCTACAGCTGAATGAAGAATTTTTGGTAGAGAACAATAAATGATATCTTACTACCTAAAAACCCGAAAGTTTTACACTCAGCTACTCATAACAATGGTCAATTGTTCAACGGATAACAGTTTCGTTCAAGTTTCATAGTCATTCCCTGCTTAACTCACTGGTGTGTATTACTTTTCATGCCCATGCAGGTTGGTCATCATAACTTATGAAGCGAAAGTAAAAAGATCCTTCAGCTCTAATCAAAACTGATATCTGTTGAAAATGAAGTGTCTATCAACAAAAGATTATCAGGTGAAGAATGCTGCAGCGTTTGTGAAGACGGTTACTGCCTTGCGGTTACTCCGGAAACGCCAATGCTAACTAAAGTGCAATTGAGTCTTCCCAACGACTCTCAGCTTTGATCAAATATAATTGCCAGGCAATATCTAAGAATCAATACAGCAAGCTGGAATATCAAGTGAGATTTACATTTACACTTTAGCAACTGGAAAGGTAAAAAAATACTTCAAGTGGTCAAAAAAAGAAATTTACTCACTTTTCCGTTGACGTGAAGACAGCAAAATGAAAGAATGGATCACAATGGTCACCAAAAGCGTTAAGCGCCTCGCATTTTCTAAGTCTACTGTCCAAATTATATGGATTTTGATAGTTTTTCACAGTATAACTTATGTTTACATCAGCCTATAGGATAAAAATGGAAAATCGATTACCAGAAATCTTTATTTATCATTTTCAGGCAAGCAATACATAAGACAAGCGAAAAATACTAAAGCTGGACTGTTTTACCTGTCTATAAATCTTTCAAAATAAGTGATCGAATCAAGCTGGTAAAGTGGTTATTGTATTGTTCAGAAATTGCTCAGCAACATCTTCTACCCATCATGACTATTTATAGTGAACTGTTTTACTTGACTTCTCAGTTTTAAACACACTTTCTTCAGCCAGTCGCATTTTTTTATCCATATATTTAAGCTGGGTAGTAGTACTATGATGGCCATGTTCTCTTCATCTTAATCACCTGTGTTATTCCGCTTCTCAGTAGACTTTTTAGTGACAACAGAATATGATTGTCTGTTATTTATGATGAGATTTTAAAAATAAAACTGTCTTTATTAACTGAATAAATCAGTTATTTCCAGTTGCTACAATGGTGACAAATAAAGGTGGTACATGGATGAATGACAGAAAATGCAAGTTATCGGAAATGAATAATCCTTCCTTACATCAAGTAATATCCAAGGGAGGTGAACCTCAGCTTTAAATCAACTGTAATTCGGTCAGCCACCAAATATAACTCTATTGAGGTATGATAGTCTAACACCATGAATTTTTAATAGCATCAGTTTATACTAGTCCACCATTCAAGAGAGACGACACATTTCACAGTATACCAGTTCATTCAGCACATAACACTGTCATGCCGTTTTGTACTAAATAAAATTATCTAATATGAAAATTCAAGGATTATTAAAAACTGGTAGATAAAAGTAAACGTCTGACGAAGTGAAATACTTGAGTATAGAACAACCTCAACTCTAAATATCACCTCTACTGAAAGTTGGTTTAAAGTCACTGCTTACTTCTGTCATGTTTCCTTGACCTGTTTTCACGAATTCATCTAAGCTGAGTGTACAAATGAGACTGAAGTAACCCCTAACTTGGTTTTCTGAGCATATGCTGTGGATATTACTTGGGCAGTGAACTTAACACTAAATAGTTGACTGATTATGGTTAATTTTTTCAGAATATGAAACACAGAATGTTAAATTACCTTTGCACTTTGAGTAGGGATTTTACATCAAAACCTTTGTATGCTGAAAGAAATCGCGTTGGAGCGTGTTGAAGATGCGAAGACCACGAGTGAGGATACCAAGAAACCAAATATAACTGAATTTGTTCTATCAGTTAGTTATCTTTATTGACTCACTGTTCTACTAGCTCACTATACATTTTCAAACCCCACAAATTGTCGATCTATTCTGATAAATAAACTAACTATTGTAGGTTATTAGAGACCTCATGATTAAAATTCGATCTGGCGGAATTGAAAGGTTGAAAATCGGGCAAGTGGTTTATCAAAGAAATATATTTATGAAATCCCGATGGGGTAGAAAAATAAGTTTCTGACGTTTCGTAATCCCATGGAAGTCGCTTCTTCAGAGAATGAAACCTGTACAAATATAAAAAAAACTATCTCAATTACTTATACTTGCGAGAACTGGTATAGATTTTATTTTCTGAAGAAGTGGCTTCCTTTAGGTCACGAAACTCCAGGAATTAACTTTTCTACCTCATTGGAATTTTACAAATATACTTCTTTTCTGTTGTAGGCGAGCATGGAATCATGATATTTTCTTTGTGTGCTTCGACTTAACCTTGGTGAAAGACAAACAGAAATGCCAAAACAACCAAGAAAACTTAACACTGAAACTATCGGGTTGTTAATTTTTAAGTATTATTTGCTTTCCACCAATTCATACACTTTAGAAATAGTGTTTATCTTAACAGTTGGGCCCTTAGAGTCTGCATAGTGGATAATTAACTGCCCATTTTTTTTAAAAATGCCTTCTTACGTCCTCATCTACTGATAAATAAGTTGGGACACGTTTGATAATGATGTTTATCGTCTCTCTTCATGTGTTTTATTTAGGATGATACTTGAGGTTTCAATTTCAACTGCTTTCAATTGAATTCATTAACCTCCTAATAATCCTCTTGCTACTACTTTGTCAAAAAATTGGAAATATCCATTGTTTTGTTGAAATAAATAGAGTCAGTTAACCGTTACTTTTGATAGATGTAAGACTTGCATTTATCAGTCAGTGATAAAGCTGATTATAGGTTCCTTATGTGAAAACTAACTCATACCCAGGTCAATTAAAGTTTACTTCTAAATCTGTTTATAATTGTACATCGAACAAAGACCACTTTCAGCAAGTTAGTCTTCACACACAGTCTTTAAATGCATATGAAATTGTTATCATGAAATGTTACTTCAGTGTAGGTTTTCTCTAGAAACAATCAATATTTTAGAATATCGGTTAATAAATCAGATGTATTTCTGCGTCAAGAACCATTTTATGTAATCTGTGACAACAGAATCGATTTTATCCGCTAAAATTGATATAACTGTTCTGGATCGAATTTTAGCTGAGTAGCGTTTTACTATACTGGAATTTGGCATAGAAGAGAATGAAACAAAGTGTTACTTGTCTGTATGAATACTTCTTCGGACTCATTCTTCAGATTTTGTAGTATTTTTATCTGTAACACTTTAAGGAAAGCTAAAGTGTGAGAAAAGAAACTTCTTATTTACTTACAATCAATCTATGAAGAAAATGCCAGTTACCACTTACATAAATATCTATATACTAGGTTGTGGGTTCGAACGCATGACTTCACCTGAAATGTATAGTGATACAAAGGGGCGTACGTGAAGTCAGGTAGTTTTTATCATACAAAGCTCTAAGAAGATGAATAAATTAAACTATATACTTTGCACTAGGGTATCAATAAATGCAAACCAGGGATTCAACCATGCAGTATTCAGTCTTTGATTTAAATGTATGTCTACTGAGAAATCTTGACAATTTAAGTCGAAGATTACTTTATCACTTCCCAGGTTTTCTTCTACAGGTAGTTAAATTTCTGATTTTTAAGTATATTCCAACAGATAACACCTATTTGCTGTTATTTAACTATACATCTGAACCCATGATCGAGTATTAAGCGTGAAGATTCTGAAATTATGTAAAAGATTTGTAGCTCAGGATGAGAACGATGGTGGTTTGATATTCTTTGATCCTTGGTATTTCGTCGTCAACGTTTCATCACTACGCCACGTGACGTCTTTAGCACTTCTTTATGAAGTTAGTACGGAAGATGTCACTACGCCAAGTGATGAAACATTCACGACGAAATAACAAAGCTGAGTTTATACCTAAACACTAACACGACAATCTGGAAGATTAAAACAAAAAAAATAGTTTATAGTTTTACAGTTTAAGTAAGCATATTTGCGTTCAGGAATTTTCATCGTGTCTTAACTGAGATTTTCTCGAAAGTCAAATAAAAATCTTTACTAAAGAATTTTCAGGTGCTAATATCCATTTATTCTTTAGGATATTACTGGTTGGAAGAAATTCAAGTGTAGTTTAATCTCAAAAGAACATCAACCAAATGACGCTAAGAAGTTTCAATTTCAAACCAATTGATCATTGAAAATTAATATATGCTGTTCTATCAGTCAATTTTGAAATGTGACCAGTAAGTGAAGTTGGTTGATGCCACACTGTTGCATACTCGCAGATGAATGTTTTAGAGCGACTGACAAGATATTTTTGGCTTAAAATTATTGTTTGGTAAATCCTGTCGATAAAGCATATCTGAAATCCTGAAGAACTGGTACCACTTCAAACATTTTAGTAATTTTCCCTGAGCTCTTAATTCTGAGACATTGTGCTTAATTATCTTGGCTAAAATCTTCTCATTCATATTACTTTAGGATATTTTAAAACTTTAAAGGTATTACTATAAGCCATCAATTTTCCGTTGGTTTACTGAATAGAATTTTTTGATCTCTTTTCGCATATAGGCTCCTATGCGGATTCATCGACGTTGACTGAATATTAATTATGGTAATTTTAGTCGGTCGCGGCTAGCAGAGGAATCCAGGGCCAAGTTTTCATCTTAATACCCATTGTACATGAGGTGGATAACGCGTTTCCGTAGCCTAGTGGATAACGCTTTGGCTTTCAAAGCGATGCAAACGCCGTTTGGGTCCTACTGAGAACAACATCACTCACTGCGCTGCAAAGACGCCCGGCTGACGAATCCCAAATGAGAAAAAACGTGCGTGCTGGATTCCTCTACAGGCCATGAAGGAGTAAAACTACCTTAGGGCCAGATACAAAACAATTTTTATCATATGAATAACCACTAAAACCTAACCATTTTCTGACAACGCTTTATTTAGTGAATAAAAACACCATCTTCCGAGTTGAACTGACAGGAAATTAAAAGTATCACTAAGTAATAACTGATAGCTGTTGCACCAGAGGTGGCTGTCATGTGTCAGTGGCCCAGTGGATAACGTTTTGATGACTGAAGTAACGGGTACTGGGTTCAAGTCGAAGTGGGAACAAAATCAGTCACTGGGAAGCAGATACGTCTAGGATTCCACCACTAGCCACCTAGTAAACTGTGACGTAATGAAGTTTCAGACAGTATCAAGGCATCCACACTGAAGCTCACTTCCTAACAAAGGTCAAACTGTTTGATCTATTACAGCAAAGGAAAATTACGAGTATCAATAAGTGAACTGATAGGAACTACTTGTCTATTTCTTAACTTCGATTCAGTAAAAAGCAGTCATAAAAAAATAATTAAAAACTTTTAAGAGTAAACTAGAATATTACTGCGCGGTTAGAACGAATTACATTCGGTTGCATGTCGCGCATTTTTTATCAATTGGATGGAAACAACTCAACTGTTATTTTATCTCAACCTTACGTGATTACTGTAACGACTTATTTTGAAAACTGTTAAAAGAACAAATGCTTATGTATCATCCTTAAAAGCATCTACATTCGGTTCAAACTGATTGGAAATTTGATATAGAGGTTTGTGGGGTATTATTTATCTACTGGATTCTGACCAAGTGGTCTACTGATAACATGTTG